TAAAGCTGGAAGTCAAAAAAAAAGTTAGTCATGTAAAATGTGATTGGATGTAAATTATCAACAGCTAGAAAACTTTTTTTCGAAGATCTGTAACTACCAAAAGAATCGGAAAGGAAAAAAACCCTAAAAATTAGTCTCAATCAACGTTTGAGCCCTTGAAATTTCACAACAAATCAATTGAGGGTGCAACAAGTTAAAGTGAGATGTCTCATTTTTTTCAAGGCTTCATTGCATGATAGAGGATCTGTGACATATAAGATAAATTTGGATCTACAAATGAATGAAGAAACAGATGCAGCTTCACAAGATCACATAAGGAGAAGTCAAATCCTAAGTTTATCTTGGATGTTAAAACTTTACTCAGTGACAGACTGGTGGCAGCTGTTGCAGATGTCAATCATGGATTATGGGTCTTCTAATGCATGCCAAAATTAACAAAAAATTATATGGGAAAAACAAGAATAAGATGAAGAGCTGGTCCCAGCAATGCATCCAATACAACATGAAAGTATGCTTATAGGATATGCTATCATTGATTTGGCCAATGTATTACAGGATTTACATACTTGTTGAGACATTTTATTACCTCATCTTCCACCAGACAACTCAATAGCCACCTGGTTATAAATAGAATCTTCTCCCCAGTCAAATCTTCTCTGTAATCTCTCATACTCTTGCCTACGGGTAACTTCAACATGCTGCCATTCTTCCCACCTCTCAGAAAGACCCTCTCCTTCTAGCATCCGGACCACGTCTGACATCGCTGGTCGGTCCTCTGGTGATGCTTGGGTGCAGAGCAATGCAACCTGAATCATCATCTCAACTTCTTCGATGTTGAAATTGTCATTCAGATTGTGGTCTACAATAGCATCTAGTCTTTTCTCCCTTTGCAATTTCTTGACCTTCAAGCAGACAGGTGGAATAATTAAGTGTCGATATCAGACAAAGGGCACATAACCAAGAAATAAGAAAAGTATGAAAAAAAAATATAAAAGGAATTTGGTAAAAACACAAAACAAAATATAGTGTCAAGTTTATACAGCATCAAAGACAAAAGTCTGAACTCAACAAAGCCTTATCTCAACTATTTGGAGTCGCCTACATGGATCATGTTCCACCAGAGTGATCAATCCAAGAAACCCACACAAGGCATCTCATCATAGTTGAATCCCTCTATGTATGATTTCATTTGTAAGCACATTTAGAATGATGCAAAGCCTGATATCGAATATGTTATTCATGACATCTATTAGGACAAGAACAAGTGACTGGCTATTCTCAATATTCAATGCCAATGCTGTAAAAGGTGAAATAAGAGCCAGAGAGCATTTGATGCACTGCATATCGTAGAATTTATAGACAGGCCGTTTCAGGAAAGCATACGAAAATTGACATATGCTTTCACCAATATATCAATGCACTCCGGTAGTAGTTAATGTATAAATCACTAGAGGCCCACTTCACCGCCAAAGTTAAAAAGTTTCGTACCTTTCAGAGTAGAGGAGACACTGCAGTTGTGACTCCGACTCTGCAACGTTTACACATGCACACACGCATGCTGATACAGGCACAAATGTCTCTTTATTTGTGTGTTTTTTTTGTTTTTTTTTTTTTGGGGTTGGGGGGTTGCATGTACATGTTTAGAGAGAGAGAGAGAGAGAGGGGAGAGGGAGAGGGAGAGAAGGTACGCATAAAGAAAGACAGTAGTCACAGTACATATCACAAGGTCATCTTACATGATCAAGTAATAAGACATCATCTTCTTCTTCCAGGCGTGAAAAGTCTATGGCTCGTTGGCCTGTTACAAGCTCTAGAAGCATAATTCCATATCCAAAAACATCTGTCCTTTCTGATGACTTCCCAGTTGACAAGTACTCTGGAGCTATGTGACCCATGGTTCCACGAACTTGAGTCGTAACGTTAGTCTTTCTCACATCAACCAATTTTGCCAAGCCAAAGTCACCAACAACAGCTTCGAAATCTTCATCCAGCAACACATTAGCAGCCTTAACATCTCGATGGATGATTTTGGGATTACAATGTTCATGAAGATACTCTAGACCACGTGCTGTGCCTAAAGCCACTCGTTTTCTTGTAGGCCAGTCTAAAACAGCCTCCCCTGGTTTAAATTCTGCATAAATGTGAAAAACCAGTCAATGATTACAAGTAAAGCAACTGAAAATAAACATAGCATGATTCACACATGAAAAGTATGTAAATTGAACAAATCCTGAACCTATTAAGACAATGGGCGGAGTCCATGACCCCACAACTCAGTACGATTTTTGTGAACATGTTTGGCTCTATAGCATTTACAAGTCCAGGATGAGTTAACAAGATCTGGACAAGAGCACTTAGATGATGGTGAGAATGATATGAAATCTTTCAATACTCTTCAATCAATATATTTCAACCTTTTGCTTTAGTATATTATAGAAAAGACTAGCACAACCGATTTGAAATACTCTTTTGCTACTTGGATAAGTAACACAATCAACCCCAAGGTAGACTTAAAATAACTCCGCCCACACTGGCACCAAGGTTTTTCCTGACCTCAGGTCTAAGAAATCATGCACTAGTTCAAAAGGAATTATGCCTTTCCATCATCATAACTTGCACAGATTTTACATGCTTGATTGGCATATTTTAAGGGTGTTCTTATCACCATATACGTATTTATTGGTTCTAACATGCATTACCTACTAATCTTACCTATGCATTAATGTTCTTCTCACTCTTTCTTTTTGTTTAAAGTCGTATATCCAATAAAGAGTAAACAGAAAAGCAGCAGAAAATTGGGCAAATTGATTTGGCATAGCAAATAAAGAAAGATCTCACCCTGGTATAAATATAGTACTGAGTGTGTGAATAAAATCACTAACTTTTAGAAGAAAGGACCGTCAATTTGACTTTTAATTTGACAAATGCCATAGTCGATTAAGTTATTACTGTGAATCCAGAGAGTGAATTAATATTGTTGCTGTTATTAAAACTTCTTCTTGACTTTCTATTGGGCTATGGTTGAGCACTTGTGCATTTGCTTTGAAAGTCTAAGTTGAGAAAGGCCCAAATGATCCACCATTAGGTCTGTGAAGTTTTATGAGAAAAATTGGTCATTCCTGATAGATAAACCTTCACAATAAGGAGTGTAACACATGCACATTTATATAAAATGATTGTGTACATGTCACAGTGTACATGTGCATATGCACATATAGAGAAGCATTTAAAAGAATAGAACAGAAACCAGGGAAGATTATGTAATGGAAGTGAAGTGAAGGAAAGCCGTTAGTAACTCATATTCACATGTGAGAGCTAAAGAACTAACTCTCCCAAAAATAGTAAAGAACTAATACCTATTAGACAATAAGCAACACTTAAGTTCTGCATAAAGGGATAAACGGACTATGGAATGACATTGGGTGTATATTATTAAGTTTAATCCGAATGGTTCTGTGGAGCGTCTCAAAGCCCGCCTTGTTGCCAAGAACTTTACTCAGACCTATGGGGTTGATTATGAAGAGACTTTCTCTCCCGTTGCCAAAATCTCTTATGTTCGTATGTTGATTTCTTTGGCTACTAATTTTGATTGGCTCTTGTTTCAGCTATATGTTAAGAATGCCTTTGTGCATGGTGACTTGGTTGAAAAGATCTACATAAAGCAGCCACCTGAGTTTACTGCTTAAGGGGAGTACTGTAAGCATGGTTCTGAATAACAGTAACGGTCGCCGTAACGATAACGGTAACGTCGTAACGGACACGGATCATATCGGCGTTACGTAACAATAACGAAAATCAAATATGTGAATTTTTTTTTTCAACTCACACCTCACCTAAAAATATATTTTTGCATGTTTCTACTCTAAAATCAAGTCAATATGAATATTTAATAATCACTAAAATCATATAGACATGTTTGTATTGATGGTATCATTATATAATCTTTCAAAAATGATCAAAGTCGCTAATATTTATACTGTGGGCTGTGTTAAATAAAAATTTGAAGAAAGTAAGAATATTGTTAGCCCATTTACTCAAAAGAAAGCTAGCCCATTAATGATGGGCTTGAATAAAATAGTAATGTAGCATCTTCAATGGTTTGACAGAGAAAAAAAAACAGAGAACCCATACCCAGTTGCTTCGTCTTCTCTGCCCAGGCGCCCAGCTTTCCCAACTCCTTCTCTCTGTTTACTTCATTTCAAATTTCCACCTCTTTCTCTTCTCCTCTATCTCCTCAAAACTTTTGCAATTTCATTCTCCCATGGCAACTCCATTAATAGTGGAAGTCCCAATATCAGTCCGGTGACAGGCCCTGTAAATCATAATATTCATCGACTCCGACGAAGCCTAGATGGACCTCGAAACCTTGAAGGACATTGCCATTGTCATCGGTGAAGTGAGACTCATCCGGTAGGTGTTAAATCTGATTATTGTGGTAAAACGGAGGTGAAAAGTCTAAAAGATTTGTGCTTTGCTATTCACATGGCTTCTTGATTTGCAACAGTCCGTATCGGTCCAACTTGACGCTTATCGGCCGTTACAAGTCGTTATGCTCTGTTACAGGCCATTACAGATGTGAAATTCATTCTTACCGAAAATTGGGGGTGTAACGGAATCGGTGGCCTTCGTTACCGTTACGCACCGTAACGGCCAATTTTCAAAACCATGACTGTAAGCATGTATGTTGATTAAAGAAATCTCTATATGGTTTAAAGCAGTCACCGAGAGCATGGTTAGGTAAGTTTTCAGATGCAATTTTAGAATTTGACCTTCTTCGATATCAGACAGATCATTCTGTGTTTCATAGACAGACGAATGTCAAATATGTTCTGTTGGTGGTTTATGTAGATGATATTGTGATTATTGAAAATGATTTTGAGGGAATTATCAAGTTGAAAACCATCCCACAAGACCGATTTCATACTAAAGACTTGAAAAACTCAGATATTGATTGGGTATTAAGGTTGCGAGATCTAAACTGGGTATTTGTTTATCCCAAAGAAAGTATATACTTGATATGCTAGAGGAAACAGGTTTGTTGGGTGGTAGACTAATTGATGTTCCTATAAATCCGAATTAAAAATTGTTGATGGATTATGGTGTACTGTTTGAGAATCTGGACCAGTATCGCAGGTTTGTTGGGAAGCTCAATCATGTCACTATCATCCAACCGGATATTTTTCATGCAGTTAGTATTGTAAGTCAGTTTATGGGTTGTCCTAAAGTACCACATTAAGAGGCAATTACTCATATTCTGCGATATCTCAGACGTGCTCCTGGTCTTGGGCTGTTATATCGAGCTAATGGTCATCTTAGAGTATAAAGTTTTTCAAATGCTGATCGGGCAAACTCTCCTTCTGATCGAAAGTCAACCACTGGTTATTGTACTTTTTTAGCAGATAACATTGTCTCATGGAAGACTAAGAAACAAACTGTGGTACCAAGGTTCAATGCGGAGGCTGAGCATAGAGCAATGACACATACAACCAGTGAATTGACATAGCTACTACACTTTCTCCAGAAAATTGACTTTCCAGTTCAACATCCTTTACAGTTATTCTGTGACAATCAGACATTTACTCATATTGCTGCTAATCCAGTATTTCTTGAGAGAACCAAACATATTGAGATTGATTGTCATTTTATTCGAGACAAGATAGTAGCTGGAGATATTACGACTCTATTTGTGAGATCTGAGGATTAACTTGCGAATATGTTTACCAAAACATTAAGTCGTATATGTCTTACAACCATTTGTTCCAAGCTTAGATTATCTAATATATATAATCCAGCTTAAGAGGGAGTATTAGAGTATTATGTAAATATTAGTTAGTTGTAATAAGTATACCACTAGAGGGTATACACGTCTTTTGTATGGTTACAAGTTAAATATAAATACAAGTGATTTGTGAGATGTAAATCAAGTTTTCGACCACTCTCCGTCTTTCTCTAATATTGTGTTAACTCTCTAAACTTAACAGAGACTATGGTTGAGCCACTTGTGCATTTGCTTTGAAAGTCTAAGTTGAGAAAGGCCCAAATGATCCACCATTAGGTCTGTGAAGTTTTATGAGAAAAATTGGTCATTCCAGATAGATAAACCTTCGCAATAAGGGTTGTAACACATACACATTTATATAAAATGATTGTGTAGGTGTCAACGTGTGCATGAGTATATGCACAATAGAAGGCATTTAAAAGAATAGAACATGAACTAGGGAAGATTATGTAATGGAAGTGAAGTGAAGGAAAGCCATTAGTAACTCATATTCACATGTGAGTGCTAAACAACTAACTCTCCCAAAAATAGTAAAGAACTAATACCTCTTAGACAATAAGCAACACTTAAGTTCTGCATAAAGGGATACACCAGAAGGCGTTCTGTTGGTGTGGTGCAAAAGCCGATCAGTCGTAAGAGGTTCCTGTGAACAGCCACGCTTATCATCTCAACTTCACGCTGGAATGCTGCATCCCCACCAGGACTCTCATAATCAGTCAACCGTTTCACGGCAACTTTTGTGTTGTCTGCAAGCACTCCTTTATAAACCTTTCCAAAACCTCCCTGTCCAAGGACATTTTTCTCACTGAAGTTCTCTGTAGCTAGTTGTAATTCCCTCCATGCAAATCTTTTCAACTGACCAAATGCAATTCGTCTGTCAACTTCCCCTGAGCTCAAAAGAGAAAAGAAAAGTATCCATCAGCATAGTCCCAAAGGAACCAAAGTTATTCTTAATTCAAAACTTCCACTACATTCTACCAAGAAGTAGTATTATTCATGTCAAAAAGAGAGGACAGAGATTAACACACACTCAGACAAACAACAAAAAAATAGTAACTTGCAATGATATCTCTGCATGCATGAGGAGTTAAGGCTGAATACATCTCACCCTTCCCAGACCCTACAGTGGCAACAGTCTCACGCACCGTCCCAGCCTTTTTATCATTGCCTTTTTTATATCTTGTTGGAACAAAATAATTATATTTTCAAACCAATTTCTCAAAATTATATGCAACCACATGCAGATATATACAGAGAGGAAGGATAGAGAAGCGATCGAACTAGTCGTCACAGATGCGGGTCTCGTGTGGAGTAGGCATTGAGAGTACCGTGTTGTGGCATAGGAGGGCCATGTTTTTGATAACCACAGTGTTCAACCATTGTTTTAACAGTAATTTATCTCGCCCTATAACCTTCTATGGCACTTCAACCTTTCAAATTCTAATAGAAGGTTAAAAAATAGGTGAAGATGGCTAACCAATGAGCATCTGAAAAAATGATTGACACAAAAAACAGTCCAGACGAGCCAAGAGCCCAACATCTTTTATCATGAGATAACAAATCAAGAAACTGCAAATCAATAACAGACATTAACGAACACGATGCCACTAGTAACCAACCATTCAAATGTCTAAAAATTTTGAAATTCCAATTCGAGTGGAAGGAAGAAGATTCAAACATGCAAGCAACACAAATTATGAGACCTAACACAAATGATGAATGCGATGGAACAAAGATGAAAAACGAACCTCTCCCATCATATGTCTTCCCAAAAGCGAATTATTTCCCATTTTCCACCACCAATCGAAGAAAGATGGAAAAATAGGACAAACCATGGGACATATGTTTCCAACGGAAACGGGAGGATCCCTGTCTCACTACATTGGACTCCTACCCATTAGACACCCTTAATCACAGAGCACCACAAAGAATCTTGCTCCGAAGTGAATCTTGGTGGAAACATAAAAGATGACCACAACTCCATTTTAACTATACAACATCCAGAGAATGTATCACGAACCAAATCAATGACATCATCTTTGAGTTTTAGATTACTTTGGCCAACATAAAATGGTAGAGAATTTTTCTGCAGATGCAAATCACACCAGTAACCTTTCTTAATCAAACTACATTTTCAGTCAGGAATATTAATCTACCAAAGGGAACATCTGTTGATGGGTTTCTATTATTTTCCTTCTATGTTGATGCTGACAGATTAGGGGATCAAATTGGATGGGCTGGCTCGGTTCATATTCATTCCAAACCCAATGTACTGAAAGAGGTCAGTTCTCTAAAATCCCATTCCAAAGTGAAAAAGGTCAAAAACAGAACCAAATCCTACCAAACAAAACCATTTGGCTCATTGAAGCGCAGGTTACTTAGATAAAATAACTAGGCAGACTTCCACAAGTTTGAGCCCTTGGAATTGAAAATCCTCAACTCGGCTTAGCTCACTTTCAAGGCCTGCCTAAAGGGCTTGACCATGAAAATCTGGAGTCTAAAGATTAGAGAGGATTGTTAATTTCAATGACTGCCAACATTAATTTCAATGTAAAATATATCACCATTTTAACTATAGAATTTACTGTAGAAGACCAGATTTGAATTTTCAAATCAGAATGAACCAAATACCACCAAAACTGATCCAAGCCAACCCATTGAACCCGGTTCAGTTTTTCAGTTTATCCCTTTCGCAACATTCATGGGGTACACTGAGAAACCAAACCCCTTCGGATTAGAGTACAGCTATCCCCAAATTAGTTTTCAAATAGGTTTTTTCAGTCAAAAATCTTTGGAAAAAGGTAAGGTGACTTAAAACTTATGTCCTATTCACCAATTGTTAATAATTGACAATTGGTTTTAAATTCACCCCTTTGGCATCCTAAAATTGACATTGACATTCTACTCCATTGTTCTTAATCTTGAACTTAAACCAATGCATATTGACTATGTTGCTTACATAAACATTTCTTGTTTATAGATGTGAACTCGGCCTAGACTGAGTTGCTTGGTGACCACTTTGTGACAAAAACGAAGTCTCATCAAGCTAGTGCAGAACTGTGACAACTATACTTGTCAAGGTTTCAAAAGCTGGCTTGCTGAGCGGTGCAACACCTCCTTCACAATGGCAAACCAAGAAGTTGCTTCTGATGCACGTGATGGGAAAAAAATATGTAAAGCATGACAAAGGGATTCAAAGGGCTGCCACTGAATGCACCTAGATTAGGCATGCACCCAGTCCACCCCTACTTGCCGCCGTTTGGGTGCGAGGGACCTAACACAGAGAGAATTGATGCTCGGCATGCCCTCTTTTCCTATGCCAACAAGAGCAAAATTTCAAAATATAGTGTATTCTTTAACAATTACTATGTAACTGTAGGTAGGAAAGGAAATGAAATGCAATATAAATCAAGTACTTGAAATGCACTGAGCAGATATACACCTGCAAAACTGCATGTCTCCTTATTCAGCAGACCCCAAAACATTAAGCAAATGATAAATGTTTAGCATATTCGGCAGTGCTGGAATTCAACAGTTTGATAAAAACTACAAGCAACACAAACCTGCAACATCTACGAAAACTTCACGCTTGTAGCCTTTATGCTTAGCCTTCCACCAGAGTAAGAACAAGCCTCCAAGAAGAAGAAGACCTAGAAGTGCGCCAACAATCCCAAATATAATTCCCGTCTTTGATTTACGCGAAGAACCTGCCAAGGTGATGTTGTTCTAGGATAGGATTAAACTTGTCCAATAATTTAAAAAATTATGATGGCACTGAACATATTTCAATGTTTTTCTTTAAGGAGATACTCAACAAATATTTTATATTTTATGACAGAGTTTAGCTAATTTTAATACCTCCACCAGCAGAATCACAAGGGCGGGTAAAATTCATGCCACAATTCAAATGGTTCCCCGTAAAACTGCATTTGTGCAGCCAAAGTTAAATTAACCTCAATATTGGCAAACATGTGAGAAAGAAAGATTAAATAGGCAGAAAATATCAAATCAATAAGCACCTTCCACTGCTTAAACAAGGAGCACACAAGGATCAAAATTTCGTTTCGAAGTACCGTTTCGGTCAACTCAAAAATAGAAACGTTTCGGAAACATTTCGGAAACGCAATGGAAACGCATAGAAACACAAATGCAATCCATTAATTTATAAAGATATGCTAAATAATTTATTAATTCAACATATTTATTAGGTTAACATCAATTTATACAAGAATAAATTTAAATTTGAGGGAAAAAAAGGCTTGACTTGAGGCGAAAGTCACTTAAATTAGTTTCAAACACTTAATTTTATGAAATAAACACATTTTTACATAATATTAAGGTCTTATAATACACATGAAATGCTAATGAGTACATACTTACATGGTTACATCCATTCCCCTGTGGAGTGTCGAGCAGGCTCATACATCGGTGTAGGCTCTGGGTAACTACTTAGAGAAACTCCATATGTGACATAAATATGATGACAATAGTTACTCCAAATCATATTATTACGGTAATATAATCCAATTAATAATATTATTTTATTATAATACTAATAATGAAGGGTATCAAATTAAATTAATGATACTTATGTATACTTAAAAATTAAATGTAATTGCAGTGGGTATTAAATGTAATTACAGTAGGTATTAAATATAATTACATTAGGGTATTAAATGTAATTGTTAATACTTATAACAAAAAAAAAAAGCAAAAAACTTGCACAGCAGTGAGGTATTAAATATAATTACAGTATATATTAAATATAATTATAATGGGTATTAAATATAATTATAGTAGGGTATTAAGTGTAATTATTTATTCTTATAACAAAAAAATTATAAAAGACAGAAGAGCAGTGGGAATAAATGTAATTATAGTGGGATATTAAATATAATTATAGTGAGTATTAAATGTAATTACAGTGGGTATTAAATGTAATTATAATGGGGTATTAAATGTAATTATTCATAATGAACCGAATATATCACTGTTTTGTCGAAATGGTTCGAAACAATGCCGTTTCGACCGAAACGGTCCGAAATAGTACCGTTTCGACCGAAACACTGGAATTTTGTGATTCAACTACTGTTTCGTTTCGGATTGTTGAAATTCCGAAACGTTTCGGACGTTTCGGACGTGTCGACACGACATTTTGATCCTTGGGAGCACATATCATCAAAGGGGAGAAAAAGAAAAAGTTTCCGTACTTGTATTTTGGAACTTGAAATAAATGCTGAGGTATTTGACCGGTTAGACCATTAGAAGCAAGCTGCCTGCAAAAGAAGTATCAATAATGCCATCAAAATCTGACAAAAGGTCCCCATCTTGGTAGGTTCACATAATATCTGATTCTAGAAGCAATTGAAAAACTCAATTAAGTTACACATCAGACGGAAAATCGTACTCGACTAAAACATATTCATATCATAAGAGATTAATGACTTACAAAACAACCAAATTACGAAGACTTGAAAGTGTTTCAGGAATTTCCCCCGTAAGGTTGTTTTGATTCAAGAACCTGCTCACAAAATCAAGTAAATCACATTTTTTTTAAGGCAACAAAACAAAATCTATGATTAAATGGCACAAAAATACTTACAAAATGCAGATACTACTACTTACAAGAACTGAAGCTTCTCGAGATTGCCAAGGGAAGATGGTATTTCTCCGGTTAAATGGTTGTTTTCCAAATCCAACATTGTCAGGCTTGTTAAATTTCCAATCTCTTTCGGTATCTCACCTGTTATGCCATTTCCTTGTAATGAACTGCAAGATTAATGCACGTTAAACGTGTCAACAAATCAGAAACGAAACATTGATATAACAGGATATAAGGGGCTTCAAGTGTCTCATTTCCCAGCCATCACTCAATACAGGAAAGAGATTCTTCCATGTATGAATAGAGAAATAACTTTCAACCCAAACTAGTCAGGTGCCAGGAGTAGTCCAGTACCAATAAGGTCATGTTTACCAAATAGAAATTGTTATTACAGCAGCCATTAATATGATTTAATATGGGGGGTTTTGTGGTGGACTTAGGATGAGGAAAGCAAGTAGCTTTATGATGCCAAGAGCTGAAAGAGAGTGGTTGCCAAGAAACACTGATACGGATTCAAAATATATACATCACAGGACAACAGCACGAGCAAATCCAAAAAAGTTGGACAAGGACATGGCGAGACAACGGTACATTTTTATATTTTCACATACGTGCAAGTACACAATTCTTTATACAGCTACACAGATACGGATTCAAAAACTGGTGACCAAGTATGTGGTTCATACAACTACTTAGTGACCAACTAGGTGTGAGGCACTAAGGCCAAACTTTAACTAATAGACGAGGACTTTCATAAAGACTTCAACTTTTGATTTGACTCACTAAATACTTCAAATAAGTAATATAGATAAATAAATGAGCCTTTACATTTAGAAATACGCATGGCTACCCATTGCGTCAACCTAAAGAAAAAATGACCAAAATACCCTTGACATCAAATTTCATAAAACCTGATTGAGATTATTTTAGCGATAAACTAAACAACGACTGACATAATACTATGCCATCCAATATCAATTACATGACATTCCAAGTAAGTCTCAAATATAACTCCTTAATTGCCCCCTCTCTCTCAATCAAATGTTGTGCATCATATATATCCTATGTAGGCCAGTATCAACCGACAAGTCTTGCATTGAGAAATTGTAGAATATCTTAATCCTACAAAATATTTTTGTAAATACATCTACAGCACCCTATAATGTCTATTCCATAACCTATTTAAAAATTTGTGAATCAATAAACCTCATCAGCTAGATGCCACCAAAAAACTCACCACCTAAGTAATAGAAAAGAATATTTGAAAGTTATAGTAGCTAACTTTGTCAATTTCCAACAAAATTTAACGTTTTGGACTCCCGATTTAAAAAATAAACCTATAAAGCTTTAGAAATACCATTTTAGGGTTCAAATCAATGTCAATAGGATTGCGGATCAATTTGTTATGTGGTATTGGTAATGATATGTAGCATGATACTTTCTCAAGTAAAAAGTGTAATGTAGGGAAACTTAGATGGTTATTGATTTGGGGTGTGTTTTGCTTTGGAACTCCTATTGGGATTGCTTCTATTCTTATACATAAACATATACTATCATACACGCATGCACATAACAATTGCTCTTTATTTTACATTTACGGTAACTTTCACTATATGTCAAATTATATATAATTTTACATACATACAGACAAGGCAATCAATGTTAATTTTATGTTGTAATAATAGTCCAGAAAGAACTAACTTGGGGTTAGGGTTACATTTTTGGGGGTCGAAAATTTAAGCGTCATATATCTGGAACCCACCCCATTTGAGGTCGTCCAATCCAGATAGTGGATGATCTGATTGAGTGATTTCTGGTAAAAAGTAACACCTTTAACCATATGATGGCAAACAGACTAGTCAGCCTTGTCCATAAGTCACAAAACCAGCAGTAATTTGACATAATTTCACTAATCTACCTAAGAAAAATAACCTTAGCCAGCTCAATTTTTGGTCACATTCTCTAGGATGTCATGAAAGTACTAATCAAAAATCCTTTAGTAAGCAGCTGCTAAACATGACAGCTCAGTCAATGAATTGTCATTAAGACCTATGGTAAAGTAAAAGGTGTGGCCTCAGGCTGAGCTAGATGGGAGGAAACAAAATTATATGTTCAAGACAATGTATATAAACAAAATAATGGAGAACACAAGATAAAATGATAAAGTGTAAAAGTACTAATAACTTCACATAGACCTGTACTCAAGAGTATCAACCACCAGACTCCGAAAAGTAAGAATCTCAAACCAGATGCACTTGGGGGCGGGGACTCAACTAGACGATCAATGCACTGTCTGTCACAGCATCTTTGGACATTCTCTCACACACTCACTTCCAAAATGAATAAGACATATGAGGCATGCCATGACTTAGGGATAAAACAGGACCGTGACACTAAAGACGATACATATACGTGTACATATATAATGCAAATATATATCCTTCTGCACTGCCAGAAACATTAAATAATTGCTTAAGTCGAGAGCACTGGTTTGAGGCAATTAAATGTATCCAGATCTCAGAGCTGCATAATTTAATATTTATGCATGTCAAACTGTCCTACACGTACAGAGTCAAAAGAGACTTCAGAACTCCGATTTTTGAAGACAAGGTACCAGAAAATCCCATATTGGACAATGATCTGCAAATAAGTAAGAAAACCAATTATTAGGTTGGAGAGTAGACAACTAAAAAGAAAAATCTGTCACTGTAAATGACACTAGCTACTATCGCAGCAATGTGCTAGCATGCATAATGGTAAGACAAAATGATGAAAAATGGCAACGTCTAATAAAGGTGTATGAAAAAAGTGGGCTGGATGATTATAAGGCCCAAGCCTTAATTTGGCATGTGTTGGATGATGTTGCGCCCACTTGGGATATTGACTAGACATGGGCTGATTTCTAAAAGTCTGCATGACCTTTCATTTAGCTACATTAACCACAGATTTTCTATGCATGTATCCACATCTTCATGCACCATGACCATTCATTGTATCTAGTTTTTTGGGGAGTTGAAAAGTTTCAGTATTAATTAGCTTCTGAAGTCCTATATATTTATGTAATTTCAAGACTTTGAAGTGTGATGAATGAATATACGAAATTTTCAGCATTGTGTGAAACAATTCTTTCTTTGGTGTGATGCTGAAGAGCCCCTAGGTGAGATGCCTTGGGTTTTCTAGGTGTGAAGCCTAGAACTATCTTCTGTTTCTTCTAATTTTCCTTCTAGCTACTGTTCACGTCTACTATTCATGGCTACTGTTCACATACTGTTTGCACACTGTTCATCTACTGTTTGCACACTGTTCACACACTGTTCACATCTACTGTTCACAACCCTAAACAACCCTTAAACAGCCTGTTTTCAGTATTTTCCCTTTCCTTAGCCGCCTTCCAATGGTGTCCTACATCAATTTTTGGTATCAGAGCAGGGTAGTACCATGACTACACGATTCAAGATGGGTTTGAGGCTAGATATAAGAAGGGAGCTGCTTCGTCAACCCTTGTACAGTCTTGAACATGCTTTCCAGGTTGCTTTGGATATGGAGGAGTATTTGAAGTACCCAATTACGAGAAAGTATTGGTCTCAAGCTGGGGAGAAAACATCAAAGAAGTACAATGATGCAAGTAACTTTCGGACCAATGGTTCTAAGCCATCTTTTCAAAATATGGCTAACCCAAAAGGCAAAACTCATCCAACCAACAAATCAGGTGGAAAGGAAAGCAGGTGTTTCAGATGTGGGGAGACAGGTCATATGGCATTTCAATGCCCAAAGAAAAACTTACATATGAGAGTGGTGCATAATGAGGAACTTGACCAACAACACCATGAGGATGAGGAGAAATCGTTTGATGTTGGGGCCTTTAATACTGATGATTTAGAAGACGAAGAGACTGACACTTCATTGATTTTGGTTGTTAGGCATATCCTTGTAGCCCCTAAAGTTGAGAAGGAAGATTGGAGGCGCACTTCTATTTTTTAGATATTGGTTCGTTGTGGAGATCAAGCCCGTAAACTTATTATTGATGGTGGCAATTGCATGAATGTTGTATCATCATCCATGGTTGAGTGCCTTAAGCTTCCCATTCAACCACATCCTCAGCCATATAAAGTAGCTTGGATTGACAACACTTCTATTTCGGTAACTCAATGATGCCTTGTCTCTATTTCTTACGGTTCCTATAGTGATTCTATTTGGTGTGATGTGATTCCTATAAAAGTTACTCGCATCCTCCTTGGAAGGCCTTGGCTTTATGATAGAGATGTATATCACTGTGGGAAACAAAATAAATATTCTTTCTCATTTAATAATAAAGAGATTGTTTTGAAGCCGTTGACTACAGCTAAAATGGAGAAATTCAAAAACAAGAAATCGAAGTATGATGTTGATGTTAAGTCAAAGTCTCTTCATGTTCTCACCAAGAAGCGCTTTCAACGAGAGAGCATGGAATCAGAGGTCATATATGTTGTGGTGATGAAAGAAGTATCAAAAACAGAAGCCGTTTTATCTAATGCAATACCTCCGGAGGTGACTGAGCTACTATCTCACTTCTCTGATGTTGCACCTGAAGAGCTACCAAATGAACTTCCTCCAATGCACAATGTCCAGCATGCAATAAACCTTGTTCCTGGGTCACAATTGCCTAATCTTCCAACCTATCGCATGAATCCAAGTGAACACACAGAGCTTAAAAGGCAAGTAGATGAGTCACTATTAAAGGGATTTATTTGTGAAAGTTTAAGCCCTTGTGTTGTCCGCATTGCTCACGCCAAAGAAAGATGGCAGTTGGCACATGTGTGTTGATAGCCGTGCTATAAACAAGATCACAATCAAATACTGATTCCCCATTCCAAGGCTTGATGATATGTTGGATATGTTAGCTGGTTCTTGCATATTTTCGAAGATAGATCTAAAAAGTGGATACCATCAAATACGCATAAGACCAAGAGATGAATGGAAGACAGCTTTCAAGACAAGAGATGGCCTCTATGAATGACTAGCCATGCCATTCGGTCTTACAAATGCCCCTAGTACCTTCATGCGCTCTATGACACAGGTATTGCAGCCATTATTGGTCAATTTCTGGTTGTTTACTTTGAT